GCTGTGAGTGCACATTGCCTGGTCATGTTGAGCTTCTTGTCAACGAACACTCGCAAATCCTTCTCCGCAGGGCTGCTCCTCATTCACTCATTGCCCAGCCTGTATCTGTGCTCAGGGTTGCCCTGACCCATGTGCAGCACCTTGCACTTGGTCTTGTTGAACTTCATGAGTCTGCACAGGACCACCTCTCCAGCCTGTCCCGGTCCCTCTGGATGGCCTCTCTTCCCTCCCGCATGTTGACCACACCACACAGTTTGGTGTTGTTAGCAAACTTGCTGAGGGTGCTCTCAATCCCACTGTCCATGTCACTGACAAAGGTGTTAAACAGTGCCGGTCCCAATACCAACCCCTGAGGAATGCCACTTGTCACTGGTCTTCAAGTTGGACATCAAGCTGTTGACTGCAACTCTGAGTGCAACCATCCAGCCAATTCCTTATCCTCTGAGTGGTTCATCTGTCAAATCCATGTCCCTCCAGCTTAGAGGCAAGGATGTCATGTGGGACAGTGTCAAATGCTTTGCACAAGTCCAGGTAGAAGGCATCAGTTGCTCTTCCCTTATCCATGGACGCTATAACCCCGCTGTAGAAGGCCATCAAATCTGTCAGGCACGATTTGCCCTTAGGAAGACATGTTGGCCGTCACCAATCACATCCTTTTCTTGAATGCTCGCTTGGAAACTGCCTTTGCTCATCCTGTCCTTTGCTAGCGGATCACCATATTCCCTTCTGACCCCAAGGAGTAAGATGCAGCCTGAACCAAGGGATGAACAACCCAGGTACACAGAGCATTACTGCTACACAGGGAATTTGTGGACAATGGTCAACAACCTGTATTTGATCAGCAAAGTTTGAGTGTAAAACAGTTTTGGAATACTATACAGCTTTCTAATTGCTGGAAAAGCCTGGTGGGGTTAGGAGCAGGATGTGGACAGGATTGAGATCACCAGCTGCAGGTACGCATGCAGCATCTGGTGTGACTGGGTGGCTTCGGGGAAGCAGTGGAGGGAGAGTGTGCAGACCCTGTATGGCTGAACCCAGACCTCATGGCACTCAGCCGTGGGACAGCCTCAGGATTTTCTCTGCTTGCATCTCTGGCAGATGATGTGCTCTACGGAAGGTGGTGGGCAGCAAGAAAGGTTTGCTGCTGAGAGCATGGCTGTGGCTCTGCCAGCACCCCTTGCCATGAAATCACTGAGGATAAAAGAGAGTCTGGGATTTGCACGTCTTGCAACACCAGTCCTCCAGTGATTCGTTTGCTAGCTTATGGGATAAGGCTCTGTAAAAAGTAAACCCTCAAATTTATTAACTATTGTCATACACGCTGATGCCATCTTTATCCAATAAATACTACCTGAGATATCAAAACTGGCTTGCTCCCAAGCCGTGCAGAAGAGCTGGTGGGAGCTGCTTTGTCCTAGACTGCACAGGGTGATGCCAAAGCACAGCGTAGAAAGGCAGCAGCCTGCCATCCTGTCCCACTCTCCTTTCACCTCCTGTTGCACCCTTGCCTCACACCTCGCAGTGGTCTTCCTGCAGGGGAGGCTCCACTTATCCTCGCTGTGTCTTTAGTGTCATACTAAGCCCCCAAACCATATGATATCACCTGGTTTACTTGCAGGCAAAACCTCTCAGTCATATCAGAACTGTGGGTGGTGGCAGTTGACTTCTAGCCTTGCCAAAATAAACTCTCAGGCCTGATAAGAGAAAATTCGTGAACTGGGAAGTTGAATCAGTTTAAGGTGAGCTCTATCATGATGTTTTCAAGCATACTAAGGATTTAAAGTGTAATTCATCTAACTCCTTTCTGAAGCTGACTGTATTGAGATTCAGTGTTACAAAGGTCTGCCACAACAGCTGGCTGGCAGATCTCCCGTGTCTCCTTCTAGAGAAATCCTATAAATAATCCCAGCATTTTTGGATGAACTCAAACTGAAGTTTATGCTCTCTAAAGCTAATAATATGTGATTGTGTTGCTTACAGCAAAAAATCAGTTTTTCTGGTTCTGTTTTATTTATACTGGATATGCAGCAGTAGCCTCTGTGTCAGTCTTTTCTTCTTTTCCCTTGTTTTAAAAGGCAAAAAATACTTTTAAACAGAGTATCGTGATGGATTACCTAGATTTAGGGGAGAAAAATCCTGCAGTGATTAGAGCTGTAGATAACCCAGGTGTGAATTTGCATGTTGGGAATTATTTTTGAAGTTTTGTATACAGTGCACTACAAATGACATTAACACACTGTTCTTCATTTGACTCTTACTGCAGCTGTACTCTCCTAGAGGGAGGCTTTTCACAGGTTTAATTTGCCTTTCTAATCCAGTATCTTGCTTTGATGTGGGGTACAGGGTAAATCTTTCCATTTGGAGTGCTACATACATGTGGTGAATAATAAAATACCTAATGAATAAAGTCTTTCTAATGAATGGTGTTCAGTGAGATCAGACATATGGTGCAGAAAGGCCACTCCCCAATCCTCCCCTCTTCTTTCATTCGCAGAAGGAAAAAACCCAATGTGTCTGCAAAATGTGACAGCAAAGCCTTTCAGGCTAACAAGTTTTAGAACAAGAAATTAAGGCTTTCAAAGGAAAATAAATGCTTCAAAGTTTCAAGCAAAGCTTAGGTGACTGTCTAAAACTTCAGCTCCTCTTAGTACTGCCTTTTTTTGAGGCAAACAATGGTACAGTGTGTCATGGCAGTGACACACAAGCTGGTCAGACTTTTTGAACTAAAGATGTTCCAAAATGAGGTACCTCTTCTGCTAGACCATGGGGGCTGGCTCTAACCTGTGGAGCTGAGCCCCTCAACCACACCACCGAGAGCCTGACTGAGCTATAGGCTGCTTGAGAGTGAGCAGTGCTTTGCCCACCTTCAAATAAAACACACAAGCGTGAACGCAGCAGGATTTTAAGGGAGGTGAGAGAGACAGAGAATGCAGAGAAAGGCTCTCCCAATCCTTGCATCTTCAGTTGCCACCTCTTTCTCCTGCCCTGTCCAGCCCACCCTGGGTCAGGATCAGAGATGCTCAGCTCACAAACAGGCTGATTTGGCACCACTAACACTCCCCTAACTAAACTCCACCCCAGGGGGTTTAGATCTTAATTCAGCATTTTGTGAGCTGGGGTGCCCCTGCTGAGAGCCGTCTGCCAGGTGTGCCGCCGCTCACTCCTCCTCACAGCTTTTGCCGCTTCTATCTGAGCGGCTGGCTGGCCACCAGGTGAGGCAAAGCCCCCCTCAACAGCTCCGGGCAGTGCACCCTTGCTTTTCTTCTTGATGGGAGACAAATTGTATGCAGGAGTCTTTCCCCACACAGCAGGAAACTCAGAGTCATTTAAGTTTCATAAGAGTTTGTGAACATGTCCCTCATTTCCCCTTTGGCTGCCCCATGCTGGCAGGTGCTGCTTACCCAGGAGCCTTCCCTGGGCTTGGTGCAGCCATCTCAGCAGGCTCTGCTTCCAGGCTTTGGTACATAGATACCAGCAGTGGCAATACCTGTCAGGACACATCCAGAAATGGGTTAGCTTGGGCAACCAGTATCATGTTTCCCTTTTCTTGTATTCAGTAATACTTCCCTAGAAATTAGCTAAGGGGAATTTTATCCAGGCAAAGCTTTTAAAGCTCTCCCCTCCCTTTCTGCAGCCCTTACAGCGGGAGAGAGTAGCTCTGGAAGAGGAGGGGACAGGCAGTGGAGGCAGGACCCTCCTCAGCATCCAAGTTTATATCACAGCCTGCCTCATACTACACATGAAAAGCAGTATTTTTTTTCTTCTCCTTTGTGGCTATATAGGTCAACTCTTCTCATGCAGTTGGGTAATAGTCTTATGGCAGCTTCAGGACCTGTGCATGTGGAAAAGTTTCTCTTCTTAAAAAAATAAATAAAAAAAAAAATTAATGCTTTCAGTGGAGCTTAGCCTCCAGAAATAGGAGAGTGCTCATGCTACGTGACTAGACAGTGTTACGCGAACCATCTGCAAGTACTCCATGACCCACAAGCCACAATTTAAAACGTCTTATGCAGAGCTGATCATAGGAAATACTTACTGAAAAGAAAAATACACCAGAGCGTCCATGTTCTATTCATAACCAGATGGCTCCAGTGTAGTGTGGTGAACAGATTTTTAAGTCAGCAATGATAATAACAGAATGTATAGATTGTCAATACTTCTAAAGTGGTTGTTATTGATTTTTGTCTGTGCAAAGATTTAGTATGTCTTTGGGAAATGATGCACAACAACTCAGTTTATAATAAAGAAAAATTGGAATCTAATGTTAGAACTGTCATTTTAATGAAGAAACCACTGGAGATAAGTTAACTCTCCTAAAAGTCGAGATGATGACAAGAATTACTAGGTTTTATTAATGGTGCTGCTTTTAAATGACTGTATAACACTGACCAACTAATAACCTAATCACTCAATGCACCTGCTGTACTTGATAATATGTACCTAGTTGTGGGTGCATAATTCACCTCTCAAATATTGAGAATGACTTGATGTTTGTAAATCATAATGAAACATCCAGATTGAAATACAAAATACAATTTATTAGTGAATATTTTCCCATCAGGTTTGTATGCAATTAATTTTTCCTTCAGTCAGGTATTGTCTTGATTTCTGTTTGTAGAGTAAAGAAACATAAAACCCTCTCTGAAGGTGAAAGAACAAAATTGTGAATATTTCATGTTCTCTCTTTTGCTAGTACAACTTCAAGAGCATGACATAGTGTACTATGGCTTTTTTTCTCTTAACTTGCCAGCTCTGCACTTCAGGTCCGCTGCTTTGCAGTTGGGTCTCTTACTCTTGTTCCGCAAATCTACGAAACTGGGGAGACTGGTGGGGTGTTTTGAACAGCCAGGGAAGATAAGTACCCAAATTTATTTTTAAATAAAGTGTGAGTACTTAATTTGGTGACACCCTGTTTATCTACGCAAGGAGATGCTTTAGAATTATAACCCACAGAATTCTCTTACTATTTCCATAATCAGTTTTCATTTGTTTCACCTTCAGGTATTGCCTAGCAGAAAACCATGGGCAACTTCAAAGGGCATGCCCTCCCTGGAAGCTTTTTCATTCTTTTTGGCTTGTGGTGGTCAGTGAAGTATCCACTGAAATATGCTTGTCGAAAAAACAAAAATGCTTGCTACCTTGGTTCCAGGGCAGGATTTCAGCGCCTGGAGTTCATTGAGGGGATTGTCAAAGCTGTCTTTGCCCTGATTGGTAAGTAAGGTGGACTTGGGGCAGATAACAAAAAAGCTGTACCTTTTAACACTTCTTTTTTAAAAAAAAATTTTGTTCTCTGATAAAATGCTTCTCATTGTGTTTTGGTATTTTTTCCTTTAAACACCATCAATCTAAGAACTAGTGGGGCTATTGCTATTAATTACATAGTTAAGACCGTAACATGGTTTCCATCCATAGCACTGTTCTGGAGCTTCTTTAAGGTACTCCCTACTTCAGGGAGGGAGGTAAGATATTTAGGCGAGGGGCTCTCACATGCAGACTGGGAGCATCAGACTGTGGGGACATTGCTTTTCTGTTTCGAATCCAGCCATCTCAGATGTCAGTAGCCTCCACTGAGTTACTGATAAAATAGGCAAATGCAGATGTTTCTTCATTAATGTCATTCAAAAGTGAAAATAATCACAAAGAAAGACAGAACTCCAGATCTTACTGCTGCAGGACTGTTGCAATGGGGCCGGGGGACGGGGGGCTGTTTCTCCTTCTGTTGTCAACTGGCCTGGGTACAAACCCATGGCCATGGTTTAGTGAGCTGTGCAGCCAACTGGAGGTGCCTAGCTCTTGTTCACAGTACAGCAGGCTCTATGTTAGCAATTTAACTTTATAGAGTAAGTAAGCTAAATAAAAGGGGAACCGGGTAGCTCAGCACATGTGGCTCTTGAGTTGAAAAGGATCTTAATTTTTAGTATTTTTAGATTCTATCTATCTACTCTTCTTTAGATGCTCAGAGTTGCCTGGTTTCTAATCAAGGTGCAAACTGTGCCAAAATCTTGTTCTTGCTTTCCTTCTGCTCTGTGAGTTGTATCAGTTAAGATACGTCAGCACTGAAGCGATGTTGTATGTACAGTATACACTTTGATATGCCTTAAAAAAATAGTCAAAACCTAAATAATAGCATTCATTTTGAGGTGTGAGTGGGGACATCTTTCAGATAGTGTCTAGAGGCAGTTGGGCAGCTAAAATACTCATCTAGCATTTTTATTTTCACCCTGAAACAAAAAGCTGTTATTTTAATGTATGGTAATTTCAATTCCATTCAAAAACATGGACAAGAAAGCCTGGCAAGGACAAACAGTAAAAGCAGCAGCAGGAGTAAAACCTGCTGTTTCTGTGTTAGGAAAACTTGAAATAAAGGTGGAAAAACACTACATTTGCTCTGCCAACATATCTACTTATACACCAGGATGATGGCCCACGCTTTATAAACAATATAATGAACTTTAACGTTTTAGAAGCATAAAGTATTTGAAACTCTTCCCAAACCTCATTGATCGCATAAAGTATCTAAAAGCAGCTTTCCCTTGCTGGAATACTGCAGCTAGTTAGCAAGACAACCATGGGGCCAAGGTAAGGGAGGCGGTGGAGCAGCAATTCAAATACTAACTTGGTATATACTCTCATGGGACCTTTAATAACTCTGCATGGTGAAGGGATTTCCTTTTATGGCTTTATAGGAAAAATCCCCATTGAATTAAGAGTATGAACTCTGCCACCCTGCATATTGCAGGGGACTGAAATGGTAAATCTTTCTTTTGGGGACATCAGCATGTGTTATACTCATGTTTGAACCACTGGGAAAGGCAGCTGAAAAATTCAGTCAGAGGGCTACTACAATAGCATTTGTTTAAAAAAAAAAAAGGCAGCACAGAATAGCTGTCTCCATTTTCACTGCTGGAAACTGCAAGATGCAAACAGTCCCACCAGGAGTGGAGCCGAAGCCTGGTTTGCTCTGGCTTTCTCCTCCCCAGATTATGTGATGCTTAATATATGCTTGAGCTCACTCTGAGGTCTTTCCCTCATCAAAGCAACGTATTTCACCTCTCCTCCGCCCACTGCCTATTTTCTTGAAATTTATATAAAATCAATACCTTTGAGGCCTCTGTGCATTTTCATTTGAATTTGGACAACACGTTAAAAACTTTATTGGGAATGGCTGAACTGAGCAGAAAGGAGCAAAGCACAGCAATCACCCAGAGCAATCTGCAGGCAGCAGCCAGACTAAACCCCAATCTTACTGGTGTTACACTGTGTGTGGATATATTGTTGCCTCTAATTGTTTACATAAAGACTTATCATCAGTCTATCTATGGTCTAAACCAGGACAAGTAGTTATGCGTCTTGTTTCATGTGCAGGAATGGTGGCTGAGCAGTTTGTTCCTGATGGACCTCATCTGAAGTTGTATAATTACGAGGAAAAGCACTGGGATCACTTGATGAACTGGCAACATGCTACTATGTACCTCTTCTATGGCATTTCAGGGTTGGTTGACATCGTGGCTCATGGGACCAGCGCGTTGCCAGTGGCCATGGACAGGATGGTGCTTTCCTTAGCAGTGTTTATTGAAGGTCGGTTTACCTCTCCCTACAAAGATGTGTGCGAAACTGTCAGAGAGATATCGGTCTTTGATGTAGGAATCTCAGATTAGCCCTAGAGAATGAGCCTATGGGAGCTGGGTGTTTAACTCCCTGAAATGCTTGAAAAAGATCGGTCTTGTCCCTCCTTGAACTGCTGAGGGTTTGGCTGCACTGCAGCCCAAAGCATGATCTCACATTTTAGAGGTGTACCTGTGCTTTCCTAACTGGCTCAGATAGCCACAGAAATGTTACGAAAATAGCAACACAATCCTGTTTGGGGATAAGTGCTCAGTAGCTCGGGCATGTGCTTCAATGTATGTACCAACATGGATGCAACTTGTGAGCTAAAGCCAGTGTGAGTGCATCTATCTGAAATCGCATGTTGGAATTGCACTGGAGACACACGCGATTTATGTTTTCTGTATGCACAGTATATCTGACAGCATTCCTCTTATTACACTGCAGAGACAGACGAATGAGGCTTTTTGTTGATGTGTTTTAAACAAAAGGTGACAGAGCTGCAGCTTCCCATGCAATTTCCTAGTCTGAGCTCAAGAGAGAGAGTACACAGTACATAGGCATCAGTCTTAAAAAATTACTCTCAGCTCAACAGAGAAGGCGATATTGGCATAAAGAGAAGTGCTAAAGCTTAACCGTTTTCTAAAAGCAGATGCAGGGAGATTACAAGGGAATAAAATATCTTAAACTGGTCACTTAATTTATTCCAGGTTTTCTCTTTTGCTACCATCTTCATGGGAGAGCCATGCTGGATGTTCATGTTCATCAGTTATTGCTATTTGCTATCTTTGGAGCTGCTGTTTGCATATTTCTGGAAGTTTTCTTCCGTGGCAGTATTGTGCTAGAGATGCTCCGTACAAGTCTCTGCATATTACAAGGCAGCTGGTTCTGGCAGGTAGGTCACTTTTCTGCCTTAGGAATCTTCCTTCACCAAAATTAGTCATCTACCCCTTTGCAGATCTTTCACAGGTGATATAATGTGCCTTTTAAACACAGACCTCAAAGGACTCATAGAAAACAATGTCCTCTTAATGTCCCTTTAAAGAGACAGAAGTATTTTTCATATCTGTTTTACAGATGAAGAAGTCATTTTACTTCTTATTTGCATCAATAAAAAAGCTAAGGTGGTTTTGTTGAGCTCTCCCTTGTGATTGAACATCCTCTCTGATTCCTGTAACATCCTGTTCAAAATTCAACAGCCAAATGGCAGTGATTTTACAGCCCAGCAATATATGCTGTTCTTTACGAAGACAGTCCTCACTGTCAGCTGCTGGAGCAGTGAGTAAATGCCCAGTGGAGTACTAGACAGGTGAAGCAAAGCACACATTGGCACTGTGTGAAAAGGATCAAAGGCACAAATTATCTTTCATGAAGGCTGCCTCTTTCTGCTTTCTAAAAAGCATTTCAACAGCGGCAACCTAGGTTTAAAAGGTATTTGAGCTCCCGATTCGCCTTAAGAGATCGAGTGATGTAAAGCCTCCTGCTTTTCCAGTGTTCACGAAATTGTGCAGAGGAAGTAACAGCCCAAACTTTTACATTGCAGGGATGTGGCTCCCAAAAGCCCCTTCAAAATGCTGCCATGCCTTCACTTACCTGTGATTCTATCAGATTAATAGATATTTCATAGCTACCCTTTCTCTGCTATCAAACAAGAGAAAGAATTTAATGAATTGCTGTGATCTTGTAACAAAGAAATAGGAGCACTAGTGCTGATGTGTGTTTCATCTTATAGTGGAGAACTGAGGTCACTCCAGTGATTTTTCTTTCCGGTATGTCTAGACTAGCTTCTCTTTTTTATATGCTGGCCAGACATGATTAGTAAAAACGTTTGCTGTTCCTTAGGAGAACAGGACACTCAGCACCAAATCAAATATTTGAATACTTGCTCTGGCAAAAAGACAGACCTCTGAAACAGCAGTATTTTTGTATAAGTGAACTCAAGAACCTGGTGCTGCAGCACTTGGTGTTTTATTGTTTTGCTTGTAAACTTTTCTTCGGTGATTTAGGAGGCTTTACATAAGAGGAATTAGATGCAACCATTTATTCTTTGTTGCCTGCCTAGTCTAATTTTAGAACAAGTTATTTCTTTAGCTCTGGAGACAATGTGGTTTTTGTTTCAAAGAAAAAAATTGAAGAACTAAAAATACAAGAGATTTAAGTGTGGCTTTTTTCACACCCACATCAGACTTCAACCATATGTGTGCCTGAAAACCACACCACAGTGGCTGCAGCATGACAAACTTGTAAAAGGTAAAGGGACCGACTTTCTGCATCATCAACACCCTCATTCACTGAATTCTCTGCATGGAAATGCAAAATGCACTCCTCCCCTCCTCCTTCTTCTCCTCCTCTTCCCAGCCTCTAAATTCCCAGCGAAACTGCTGAGTGGTGACTTTGAAGAGTATTAGGTAGTACAGAGGACCAATGCTTGTCAAGGCAGACCACTGTGGAGCCATGAGACTACTAGTTTCCAGTTTATGCAGTAATCTGAATTTGATCTTTCCCATCTCTGAATAAACAAATCAGCTACATGTTTCACACGAGCTTCTAGCCTTGGGTGAGAAAGCTCTGGTTTTATGTAATTTCAAAACCTGGCCTTTCCCCCAGATGACCCAGAAGAAATGGACTTATGGGTCACCTTTATTTATTAATTTATTATTCATCTTCTGAACCACGTAACGCATTCGTAGATGCTGTTGGGAAGAAGCGAGTCAGTGCAAATGGCTGGGCAGGTTTGCTGGTTGGCAAAGTGCTTGCAGTTCAGACCATACGTGGCTGAGCACCAGCCCCTTTCCTTACAGTACGTAACTGTGATCATTGCAGGACTTCTTGGGCTGGCTCCTTAATTCGCTGGGCAAGAGAAGGGGTCTCTGGGACTGGCTTTGCATCTTCAAAGGCATTTCTGTACAAAACTGTGTAAAATGATCCATCACATCTGAGTGTGACTGCAAAATTTTTTTAATAATAATCACAGAAATAATCAGCATTATAAGAAAACAAAATGTCTGCCTTGTGATGGGTAGCATAATACATGACATGGCATAGGATATATGTCAAAAGACGTTTCATAAATATCTTTTATTTTGTTACAGATTGGTTTTGTGCTTTATCCTCCAAATGGGAGCCCAGAGTGGAATCAGACGGATCATACTAATATGATGTTCCTGACCATGTGCTATTGCTGGCATTACGCTTTTGCTTTTCTTATACTTGCAGTGAATTACACAATTGTCAGCTGGTAAGTTACTTGAAACACTAAAACTTTGAAGATCTGTCTATTTAGTCTAGCAGGAATTTTATTTTAAAAAAGTGTCACTGACAAATCAAAAGGTTTTCACAAAGTAATTAATTGTCTTGCAAAGTGAAACAAAAATAGATATTGCTAATCAATGAAGACAATATGACTCAATGCTTCAGTAGAAAGGGGAAAAACATTGATAAAGTACAGCTCCAACAGCATAATTCTTCTCACATAAAATGAGCTCTTTTTTATAGTCTTCCACATTTGTGAATGCATAAAAATTTACAAGGAGGAGAGACCTTTTTTCCTATGACTTCTCTCCCAGTGCTCATCTCTACTAATTTCAAGTGGCTTAGTCAGCAGGTTTCATGACTGAACTTTGAAGATTATTGGACAGGTTTCATTGCTAGCAATTTCCTGTGATTAGACCTGATTTGATTTTCACTAGCCAGTTTAATCCCCTGATTTCTGAAGTTAGCCTTTTCCTTGCCGCTTAGTCCTAACTCTGACAAAATTTCAACTGCAGAGTTAACTTGGTTGTAAAAATGAGCCTGATTTTGCCATGTGTGATCACCTTCTGTCTGCAGGACCTTACCAAGTCTTTGCCTGCACTGTCCTAAACATGCTTCTTACCCCTTGTTTTATGCCTACCATCCTATTTAATCATGCTTTGGCCCATATAGTTCTTGCAGTCTTGCTGAGGAGGTGCTGTGTCGTTTTGGGTCTCAGTCCAAAAGGCACTGACACTCAAGGCTGGGTAACTGGTTTGTTGTGTGAGGGATCACAACTATGGAGAAGGTGACAGCAATCTTACATCCCTTCTGATGCTGGGAACGGCGGCTGCTGCAGCATCAGACAAGCCCCCTCAGGCTGATCACGGCACACTGCACAGAGTTCCCACCTGTGGGGAGGCTGGCCAGGCTTGCTCTTCTTCACAGCTTTATGGTACTCTTCCAAGTGAACACAGCTGTCAGTCTTGTACCTGCACAGCGTTGAACTTTCTAGATGTTACACTGAGGTTTGCTTAAGGTGTATGCTCTTAGATGTGTCTGTAGGAATAAGCTCTTACAAGCAGTACATGCAGATGGTAATGTTAAAGGCAGCACACACTAATGTCACGGTACATGCTTGCATAGTATAGCGGTCACTCATGCTAAAACACAGGTATCTACAAGTAAGGCCTGGGGTTAAATTCTGACCAGATTCTGCCTGAAATCACTATTTCCTCTTTACAATGTCTTCCACAGTGGCCCACTTCAAGTTTTCATAAGTCAATCATTCTAATTTCCCAATGAGATGCAAGAGTTGAACAATTTTTTACCATGTAAAAATGTCCAGATGAGCCTTTGAGTTACTATTGACAACTCTGTTTTTTGTTGTTGATTCCAGGGTGATTCGTTCAAAGGTTAAACAGTCCCAGTCCATGGAAATGGGATTACTGAAAACATCTGAACGAGATCAGGAGTCAGAAGAAGAAATTTAATATGAATATGGCTTGACTAGCTTACCTGCTCTACCATTAGGCTAACTGATACCTCATTTCTCCCTACCATCTTATTCATTCTTTACTACAACCTGCTATGCAAATATCATCCCCAAGTACTGTCTAAATCTACACAGTTACATCTTTATTTGTGGGGGGTAAGCTTGATATCAACCTGTTGCACTAGTACCTTGGTTATCACATGAAGAAAACCAGACTAATATTAGGCAGACTTGGACTGGGTGAGGTGGCATGACGAAGTCTGTGCATTTGCCTCATTAAAAGCTAAGCAAAATGTTTTCCAGTTGCTGGTGAACGGACTGTTAAGTTTCCATGATTAGGATGTCCAAATAAGTGTCTTGTTGCCCTGCAAGTAACTGTGCATAAATAACTGTGCAGAACTGGAAAACAGCAGAACAAGGTAACAAAAATTAGAGTCTTTCAGCTGTCTTGTGTCTCTGCTTGTGGCTTTATGTTAAATGGAAAGAACTACTCACTGCAAACCCATTCAGAATTTCTTTGAAGAGTATGTGCTATGTTCATTCCCACAGAGACGCTACTAATCTTGGTAGGAGGACCAAAGAGGTGTATGATGACCAAATGCCTCTGCAGTTTTTCATTCTCGTGCCTAGGTAGTCCTGTCTCTTTGCTATCATTTGACTTTGAAAGGCAGTGTGAAGTGACTCTGCTGTCCCTCAGCACCTGGAGCAATTTCTTTTCCAGAAAGGCCGAGGGGTGCCCAGTGGGGCAGCGCTGGGCCACAAACCTGGGTTCTTTCCCAAAGTTATTTCTACTCCTTCGGTGGAATTTGGTGGAATTTCAGCAGGGTTTGTAGCATACACGTGACTGGACCCAGAACCTGGATCAGGAGCAGGTAATGTTGATCTGAAGGCAGGATAAGACGGATTTGCATCCTTTTCCCTGTGTTGCCTCTGCAAGTGTCGGGCAGCCTGCACAGTGCTGCACGGTGAGCTGTGGGAGGGCAGATGTTGCCCTCATAGTAGCTCCATGCCCATCTACAGCAGTGAGTAACTTAAAAAATAATATTGTTTTTAATTGTATTTATTTTCTCCACCAAAACTGAAGCCTTGATCTGGTGAAAAGCAGAGTGCTCTCCCCAGTGCTCAGCGTCACCTGGGATGAGCTCCAACCTCAACAAAAGGGAAATAACTGACATATGGCAAAAGACATAACAAAACCATGTTGTATATAAGCCCACTGCCCCTAAGGGGCAGACTTTCGAAACATTGCTTTGGCTCTGAATAAGTCTTTCAAAATACTGGCACAGGCAGCTTGTGGCACAGCAGCACCTACACCCTGTTTTCCAGAAGACTGAGCATGGGGTGCATGCTGGTAGCTATGGGCCATTTACATATCCACCAGTGGTAAGATGGTCATGGTAGGGTGGTCATTCTGGAAAACAGCCCCTTCCCTTTAGAATTCCTTCTAAAAATATTATTTTCTAAATATTTTCAGAAACAGACTAGTGCAGGACAACAAATTCTGTTCAAACAGTACCAGTTCATTGGGTTTGGTGGTGCAAAAGCATGTTTCTTCTATTATTCAAGTATTTCCAGATGCTCCTAAGGGAATGCAGAGCTGGACTCTGGTAGATGAATGAGAGTTGTAGGAACTGGTCCCTCTACTCCTGAGTTTCCCTTATATTTTCTCAGTATGAACCAGAAAAATGAGTAGCATGAAATTACTAATTGAAGTAAGCTGAGTGCTTAAAAAGATAGGTAATAAAATAGTTTGTAGCTCAAAGAGACCGCAAGACTTGGGAAAAAAAAATTAAGGCTTTTTCTAAAGCTATTTTGCCTTCAATGCAACATAAACATTCACTTAATTTTTAAGATCTACCTGTTATCTCCCCTTTTTCAAGGAGCACCTTTCTTAGCTGCACATGCTATTAATAGTGAGTTTCACCAATAGTGATGTCATTTATTCTGAAGATCTTCAGAAAGCACTTTGCCTCTCATAGGCAGGAACAATGCAAGTTTCTTCACTGCTTTTCTTGATAAATATATTTAATACTGTACAAATATTAAGGTGCTGTATCTCTAAACTAAAGGGACAACCTAAGCAGGAAGAAAAGCATGATAAATTGGCTGGCCTTTCACATATCTTCTTAGAAGACTTCAGTTTGTTATTTTTAAATTTTAGATCTTTGCCAAGTATTATGAAGTGACACTTGTAACCAGCTGTCAGATTATCCAGATGAAACTACCTTGGAAAGCAAGAATAGTTGGCTCACAGACATTTCTACATTTACTAATGGAAAATGGGAAACTGCAGATTGCTAGCCAAAGATCACCACTTCTCTTAATCATTTGCCCTTCTTCAATGCCTTTCTCTGAAGGGTCTTGGAGATTTTGGCAAACTTAATGAAGCCCATCTCAGGACATTCTTGTAAGATAGGTACTGGTATGGCATTTTTACAGCTCCGTGTCTCAGCTTTCCAGTGGTCTCAGTGTAAACTCTGAATTAATTGATATTTGCTCTGCAAACCTAGGATTTGAGTTTCATTACTGTGGTTCCATTAAAACCTTAGTTTCTGTTGACATGAGACAGAAGAAAGATCAACGGCTTTGCTGAGGAGCTTGCCTGTTAATTGTAGCAGGGATACATTGGCCAAATGCAGCATGTCATTACACCCAGCTATAATTTTACCTTCATTGTGCTACATCTCTCTTGTCTCTAAATTGTTAGGATTTTTTTAATGCCAGAATTTTTTTCCCGTTACAATGGTTGAAGTACAAATCTTCTGCAGTGCTGGGCAGTGAAGAGGATGGTTATGTACCAAAGAGAACTTGGGGATTACTACAAAATTCTGTCGCGATAAGCCAAAATCCGTTGATGAAGTGAGCCTCATGGGATTCAATAACCTGAGCAAGCTGTGAATGTGGAGGGTGCTTAGCAAACTCTCATTTCGAAAAAACCTGCTTTTTTCAGAAACAAAAAGTGCCAGTACTCAAACATGACGGCCAGAAGAGTGGCTCTCTGCCGCGGTTCCTCCTGTGACTGCCTCAGCCTGCTGGCTCTAACTCTGTCCTTACCTGTGCCCGGGCATTAGCCCAGCAGCAGCTGTAGGTCTGTGAATTTTCTTGGGAGAAAACCTGAGCAGGACTCAGCCTGCTGAGAGGTGTCATCTGTATTTCCCTCTGTCTCCCTGCTGTGAATCTCCCATAAATGATCAGAGAACTGGATGAATAAGCCCATCAGACACACCTGCAGGTTTTGGTGCAACCATGCTTAGCAAAGGTGCCTTTACAGAAGCCCAGCCTGGAGGCTAATGCTGTCTGTGACACAGAACTGTAGGGCAGGCTTCTTACAAATACTCTCTCTTTGCATAAGATAAGGTGGTATTGCATTATTAAGCTTGAAGAAATGCAAGGAAAAACAGATCCTGAAGCCTCAAATAAACAGTAATCTCTCAGATTTAAATTTTAATACTTACAGCACATGCAGAGTGAGTGTCACAGTGGGGTTTTGTGCCTGATGTATTTTTGGTTCCACAAAGAAAAGAAACATCCCATTTCAGGGTGGGTTTTTGCCACACAGAACACCCGACCCATTCTTCTCAAGCATTGTTCAAAAGAGATGCCCGGGAAGAGTAAAGTACCTATTACAATGAAAAAGGTACAACCTTCGGCATTTCTCTAGCAACAGATTTTGCTTGAGTTGAATGAGTGCAGGGAAGTCTGACAAGTTTACAAACGCCACTCAGAAAAAGGTAGCTGCTCTCAAGAAAATTTAAATTATTGTTAAATATCGGTGCCTTTGAAAAACTATATGGTAGTTTATAATAGACAAGATATGCCTGTAATTTTATTTAAATAAAATTGATTTATTCATAGAAAATGTCTGTCATGTTTTCAGGGGAAAAAAAATATAACCGTTTATGGAGCAGGATGGGGTGGGATAGACATGTCATTCTCATAGCCCACCCAGACATTTGAATGAGCTGCACTCGAATTCAGGAAAGGTCAGTGCTACCTTGTCAAATTCCCTTGATTCTACTATTTAATTTTCATTTACAACATAGGTGAAAACAACTCTTTTTGAAGTCTGGGCAGTAGAGCCTCACAGATCCACAAAAGTCAAATGCTATGGAAAAAGGAGGTCCCAGATTTGGATCTGGTCTCCTGTGTCATGCGTGATGGAGCAGCCAGCAAGCCAAGTAAACAGAACTGCAGGAACAGGATCTTTCTGTTTTGGCAAGCTTAATAATAAAAATATTTAGGATTTTATTTGACTTCACTCCCTTTTTCCTTTAAAGAAAAAAATGAAAAAACTTTCTCTGCTGTAAGATGAAAATGTATTCTGAAATAAAAAATTGAGATACTTGAGAAATGTTGGCAATTACAGATTTTGTCCTCTTCACATTTTTCACCAGTTTTTAAAACTAAAACTAGGGACTATACCTGACAAAAAGTAGAAAATAATTTTGGCCACTTTCAGACTGTATTTTGGGGATTAATTGATTATTCATTAGAGATTACAGTCCCACGGCTTGCTTTCATCATTCCATAGATTTGATACCACTTTGCTACATATTTGACAGTGTTTTTTTGTCAACTATGGAGAACTTTGGATGCGATGCACTTACCTGTACATAAGAAAACTTCTAAATTTCTCCAGTGCCAGTTAAGGAAGAGAAACCCAGCATTTCCTAATTTCCCATTTCGTCTAATTGCTCACAAATCTAAGAGTTACATAAGACTTCTGGAAACTACCAGTCAGAAACTTTAAAAATCTAGAAGTAGCTTTAAATAAACCAGTTGGGGAATCAACCAGTTTCCATTAGAAAATCAAATGTACCAATGTCACCTTATTCTCTAGGGTTTGGGTTGGGGTCAGCTATCTCCAACCACATCGCCAGCATGGCTGCTTACTCTCACAGCTGACCTCAAGGAAAAGTTGGTGATAGGCTGCATGCCCCATCCCATTCAGGCAGTCGTGTACAATGCACATTTTGGCATTGGCTCTGTGTAAGACAGACCAACTTCAGTGTGTGGCAGAAGCTTGGCTCACAGTGGCAAGGTGTTTCCACCTGTGGGGATGACTCGGGACATCACAGTTGCATTGGTGTTGGGGTGAGGCCTGGAGGGAGGCACTCATGCATGATATGGGGAGCCTGGTCTTGGGTCGGCATAGCCTGAGCCCAAGAGCCCAAGGGAACTTGCTCAATCTTGTCAGCAGGCTACGAAGGAGTCAGTAGCCCAAACGAAAGGAGGCTGAAACCATGCCCTGGACAGCTGCGGAACAAGAGGTGAGGAAAAGAGCATCTTAAAGGCGA